TTTCTCTTCTCGGGCAGCAAAAAGGATACAGATTGTTTTTGTATTGACGATTCCACAGAAAATCGGTAGACATTGATTGTGTATTTTGACAAGGATTCGAAAAGAGTCATGTTTGGTAAATAGACCGACTGGCAATAAATGCGCATTTTGCACTGACTTCCAGACTGTGAAAAAGTAGCATATTTGCGATAAGAATCAAAGCAAATGGATTTGTGCGTTTGAAATTGCCGAAACATTGCATCGGAATCGACCGAGAGAGAGAGAGAGAGAAAAACGGTGTTGGTTTTGGATTTAAGAAAACATTGCTCACTTTATTTTCAGTGGAATAAATGCACATTTGCGCAGATCATTTCTAAGAAGCTATTTGTATAGTATCGTATTTGCATTGCAGCTCAAACCATAATAAAATCGTTTTCGAAACGAGTTTAATAGTTGAGTGTGCAAAATATTGGGTTGCTGCTTAAGCAGCGTCATGGGCTCGGTTTCGGTTCGTTGAGTTCCACTTAACTTGCCTACCGATCGAATGCATCAAAACAATAATCAAAGCGGCCGAAATGGAAGGGTAAGAGCACTACCATGAAGTACACCGCGTGATACCACACTTTCATTCCGTCCTCAGTCTCACTCTCTGTCGCAGCTTCCACCGAAATGGTCGAATTCCGGGTGTGTGTATGTGTATATGCGCTGCTGCTCGCCACCGTTGAGACGACAAATTCTGGAGATTTGCTGCAATAAGCGTTTGTTGAGGTAATAGTGATTGGAGGTAAGTATGATGTGTGCAAACACTAACAGCATGTCTCGATGCCCGAACCTTGCTCACACTTGGCATCATTCGTTTTGCTTTGCTTACATTTCCAATGCAGTTTCGGTTAAACGACGCTTTGAATCCACTTCGATAATAAAATTATACAACTTTTCGATGGAACAAGCTGTGGGGGGAGAAACGGAGAGAACTAGCCGAAACGAACGCAAGAACAAAGTAACTCTCTATTCGTTCATTCCATTGATACTGTGTATTTCTGGTATTGTGGCTGCTGCTGTTGTACGGACACAAAGCCAATTTTCCATACACGTTTTGTTCGGACGACCGTTCGGTTTGCGTTTCGTTTATGGCTTAGGTAGTCAATGCTTTCATTTATGGCAGTTTCCGTTTTCGCGTGAAATTTCCTTTCTCCAAAACAAACTACCACCGTAGAGCGTACGGACCGTTTGAATTATTTTCACTAACATGCATGACTTGGTGAGAATTCAGTACAGTTTCAGAGTAAAATTTGGAGAGAAAAAATGGTTCATTGTTGCAACCATTTTTCGTCAGAGAAGAATTTCTTTTTTTTTCGAGGAGAGCAGCTCTTTTTCTCTCAAAAGAGACTGTCAGATTGACGACTCCAGAAACTATTGGGTGTATTTGACAAAACTCGTTAAGTGACTTAAAACCAATTTCCATTCATCTATAAATACCCGTCTGACCCGAAATAAAAGCAACAATCGTCGAAAATTCATCGATGCATTTTGGAACATGTTTCAGGTCCGATTTCAGAGTATTGGGGATTTCATTCGTTGAAAGAAGAGCATACGCGGTTATTTCTCACTTATTTTTTATTTCGGTTGTGCTGTTGAATCAAACAGCTGCTGTTATGCCGCTTGTGCGTTCAGCACTTGACTTTTATTTTCGTTTAGTGACGTGACTGATGTGAATATATTGCCGAGTCAAAACCGACAGACAACTGGGAAACAATTAACCGTTTCGCTGTCTTCACTTTTAAATGCTTCATTTGAATGCGTGTAAGTGAGTGTCTCATCATACATCAAGTCTTTTCGAATGCTTTGGTAAATGGATTGCGGGAAAAATACCCAAAATATTCCAAAGCAACCGAGCAGATACATCCGAAAAGCGAATTGAAGCATTCAAAGAGCACTTTAACTGTGCGCATCGTTTAAATTGATGCGCACGTGTAAAACAACGGAAAAAAGGGTTCTCTTGTTAGCAATGTTCCGTTTATTCAAGCGTAACTTGTTACGCGTTCGAAATAGAGGAACTAGCTTCGAATTAGTTTGGTTCGTAACCGAGTGGCGAAACCTGTATATTCTGCGTTCTACCTCAAAAATAATTAAAAATTACCAATATCTAAATGGTTGCGTCAACCTACTGCCAACCATTTGTTCATTCTCTGAATTATCATTTGAGTGAGGGCCGCGGCGACTCTCACACATTGCAACGAAAACAAAAATTAATTACAAAGAGAAACCGAGCATCGAAATGTATTTTTCTTCTTTTTTTTATTGATATATTAATAACAGTCGTGGCCACTGGCGCAACGACCATGCTCTCCGTTCTAATCACTCAATTTTCAAGCGGCAAATTCACATTTTTATTATTTATGGCGTTTCTTTTATTATATCGCCGTTTTTTTTTCTGTGGCCGCACAGTTTGAATAGAATGGTTTTCGTTCTCGGACAAAAGGGAAAAAATAGACCTTCAAAAAATTAAATTGTTCCGGTTTCATGAGTTTTCGTTTCAATAGAAGAAAGAAACACGAAAAATGGAAATTTATGCACTTTTACTCATCAATTTTTGTTGCTTTATTATTTTATTGGTTTATTATTTTCGTTTGAACGTGTTTGGTGTGCGATCGAATTGAATGGGTCTAGCGTCGCAGGTATTGGATTCAATGGTACATTTTTTGGTAGGAAATCGATAGAATGTGTTACCAACAAATGGTGGTTTCGCTTCTTTTATTCCCTTTATGTTCGGCGGGAGAAAAACATTGATAATCGATTCTTTCCATATTATTAACATTTGATATGCGTTGATAATTGGCTAATCGATATCGAAACAACGTTGATTCAATCATTTTCGATCGCACACGATGACCATTTCAGCCCTTTCTCTTTACAATTTCGTTTGCTCGACTAAAATGTCTGTTTTTTTTCTGTTCGAAACGTCAATTTTTCCATAAAAACCTGTGGAAAGCATAATTTTTATGACGAAAATCGGTACTTGGATTTCTGGCGAATGATGAAAAGGGGTTTTCTTTCATGCTGTTTTATGAATATTTTCACACGCCACTTGAAATTTCTCTCATTCTGCCGTTCTGCCGTTTTGGTGTGTCGTTGAAAGTGATAGGTGGTCTGTGAGTGTGTCATCTGTGCTCAGAGTTGACGAATACACTTTTGGAATTGTTGGTGGTGTCGGAAAAGAAGAGCAGATTCATCACTTGACCACACCAGATGCTGAAAGTATTCCATTTCACCAACTCATGATGATTTCCGTTTTTTCTTGCCATTATTCCAAAATACCAAATGTGATCGAAATTATGACAATGTTTGGCTATAGAATGTTGTATTTTGGCTATATGGTCATACTTTCTGTGGTTGTTGAAGAGGAAAATTGAAAAAAAAAATAGCATCCAAATGATTATGATCTTGTATTGTGTATATGAAACCCAATTCACAAGTGGATAGAAAGAGGGAGGAAAATGGGAATATTTTGGCAACGGTCTCGAATGTATGCAATTTTTGTGCAGCACTGAATTGAATTTAAAGAAAATTTGATGGTGATAAATGATGCCCATTTCCATTGAGAGTCAGTTTCAGTGTATTTTTTCTGTTTGTTTGTTTGTTTAATGCACATCCTTTCGCAATTGTAATAATGATAATTGAGAACTTCGATGATGATGAATGCTTTCAACCGGATAATTTATGGATTTGCACACACACCACATGGCGTGCCATTTTGTGAAAAATCAATTCACCTTTTTCACTCGCTCTCTCTCTCTCTCTCTCTCTCTCTCTCTCTCTCTCTCTCACTCTCGAACTGTTTAATATTTAACATTTTCAATTTTGTGACAATGAGATTTTCAATATTAAACTGTTTTGGAATCGACTGTCATTTTTCATTCCATTAATGATCGATGCCACAATCGGGTTCCGTTTGAACAGTGAAGGAAGCAACTGATTGAATTGCTAATTTTGATATTTATATCATGACATCTGTTAATTAAAATATTGTAACAAATTCACACGTCGATTGCATTACGTCATTGAATGAGTTAGACTGGATGTGTTTTTTTTAAAGATATGTCACACTGATGAGGTTTTATTTTATAAATGAAAAATTAAATTCCATTTCAAGTGAATTGAAAAGATGTTTGAAAATGTGTGCCCCCGGATAAAAAACCGGCATTGGTATAAATAGAGCGGAAAAAACAAAAGCGGCCCATTGAAAAGGAAAACGAGAAAAAAAAATTTAAAGAAGGAGAAACACAATAAACGAGCCCGAATCCATCTATCCGCATCTAATCGTTGCCAAATCCAATAAAGTGTCATGCAACGCTATTGTTCTATGTTCTCCAATGTGTCAACAATTTCTAATGGCAAACAATAATAATCGAAGAAGGACCAGGAGAGTGGAAAAAAATAGCGAAACGGATAACAATAAAAGTCAACTGGTAGTAAGTGCAGATTTACACAAATCTACCGAATGTTTTTGGAAGCAGGAGGACACAAAACGGAGTGTGATCGCTGAAATCGTAATAACAAATGTTCGGGTGCGTTTGCATTGAATTGTGCGGTACAAAGGTACCGAGAGATGACTTCATTTTTTCCAACAGTTTTTTTTCTCTCTTTTCTAATGTTCGACGTCCTGCTGTTTCGAATACCAACAATATCCATTGTTCACTTCTTTTTTTTTGCTTCGGTCGCATTGTTACTGCGTGACATGTTGCAATGAAAGCGAATTTCGTACAGAGAAAAATTATGAAAAATAATTTTTCGCCTGAAAAATTGAATGGCTTGGTTTGAGATTGAAAAATGAGCCCATTGAAAAATAGGAACGCATGCTGAAGATGGCGAAATGGTTGCCGATTTCTCGGTCATGATATTCACCATTATTCGGAAATGTAAACAGTAAATAAATACAACATTTTGATTACAATAGATGTGCAAGATTATTGTTTTTATTGGTTTTGTATTCAAGATGTATAAATGCAGTGTTTATTTTGAAAATATCGATGATGAAAGTCAAGTCGACAGTTTGAAGTGAAACTTATATGCAAAAGTATAGATGAAAAATATCAATTTGGGTATGATGACGATTTAAAGTCATTAGTTGCTTTCTTGTTTGTCTTTTTCATTGTCCTTTTGTTCTACACCTTCTTTTTCCACCTCCATAATTTTTTGCTCTTCCTTGTCGTTTACCTCAGCACCGCGCTTAAGTATGTCAACGATAGAAGTATCTGCACCTGAAAATAGTCAAAATATGATTTGATCATATCAGATTCATTACAGTTAGTTCTGCATTCTCTTGATAAATTTCCCATACCTTTTTCATTGGCAATATCGAGTATTGTATTTCCGTCTTTGTCTTTCTCAGTAGTGTCAGCACCATTCTGAACCAGTATTTCAACGATCTTGCCAAAGCCTAATTGAAATAAGAATTTCTACTTAAAACTTTCAAGTACATTTTCACTAGTTGCCACACTCAACCATATTCATAATCATGTATTCATATTTTTTTTCTGAACTTTCAAGTTAGAATCAACTGCAGAGGTTAATTTGAATATGGAATTCAAATTGAAAAAATATACAAAAAGTGTTACCTTTCTCAACAGCTATGTCTAGTGCAGTCTTTTCGTTCCTATTTCTACGGTTGACTTCGGCTTTATTTTTCACCAGTAGCTCAACGATCTCTTCCCGACCTGAAGCATATACATATACTTATTAAATATAACAATATTTCGGTTGGCTGGTCGGTTTGTTCTATTTACCTATAACAGTTGCAATATGCAATGCAGTTTCTTTGTCTTCATTTTCCAAGTTAACATCTGCGCCATTACGCACAAGAATATCAACCACTTTTCTGTCGCCTGTAAAATTTTGTGTGGAATAATCATGAAAAAGTCGTTTTTTCTTATCTAATGATATAAAATTCACCTAAAAATGTGGCAGAATGAAGATTTGTTGTTCCATTGTTATCTTTCAAGTTGATATCTGCCCCATTTTGCACTAGGAGTTTGATGATCTTTTCATCTCCTGAATAGAAAAGATATTTTTTTCCAAATCATATCATGGAATTGAATCAATTGTAAAAAAAGTTTACCAATAGCTGCAGCATAGAAAAGTGGAGTCCATCCATTCTGATCAACAGCGTCGATGTTTGCATTATGTTGGATGAGAATGTCGATAATTTTAGCAAATCCAGAATGCGCCGCAGTATGAAGTGGTGTTCTGCCACTGTTATCTTTGATATTGACATCGGCTCCATTTTCGATTAGCACAGCGACGACTTTTTCAAGGGCTTTAAAACATAGAGTGAAATGAGCATGCAATGAATGTCTTTGGTACGTCCAATAACGCATTTTGAGCATCTTCTAATCCGTATTTACCAGAATCAATATTCAAGTGAAGCGGAGTCCGTCCACTGAATGGATTAACCGTCACCTTTGGACTGAATATAATTAATTTATCCATAATTTTTTCAAGTCCAAAATCAGCGGCCGCATGAAGTGGTGTCAATCCAACGTTATTTTTTAGATTAACATCCGCTCCTTTCTTGATGAGCAATTGAACAATCTTTGAATGTCCTATTTTGAGTGATTGAGAAATATTTGTTACGCAACATATGAAAATGAATCTAATTGAAATCGGTCAAAAACTAAATGATTCATCTATTTACCGGAGGCAGCAGCCACGAAGAGTGGTGTCCACCCATTGTTATCAGTGAGACTGACATTAGCGCCTTTTTGTATTAAAATATCTGCAATCCCTTCTTGACCGAAAGCGGCGGCTGTGTGCAGCGGAATCCAGCCATTTTTGTCATTGAAATTAACATCTGAACCATTTTGAGTTAATGCTTCAACAACTTCACCAAATCCTGAGTTAAACAACATTCGAATTGAATTTAAATTTACCATCGAAATTCTAACGTATTTCTACCAAAAACTGTAGCCACGTAAAGTGTTGGAAATGCTGTTTCATCATCGTTGATTTCGATATCAGTTCGATTTGTGATTGATTCCACTAAAGCACTCTCATTGCCTGAATCTGTAATTGACACACTTTCAATTTCCTGTTTGTTCATGGAAAACGTTTTTGAATTACCGCTTTTCGGCTGTTGAACTACGATTTCATCGGTTCTATTGCGTGAGGAGAGATAGTTTATTTACAAACGGTTTTTTTTTATCAATTGATAACGAATGTGTTCAATAACTGTAGAATGCATTTTTGATTGAAAATGAAGCAAGGCACTAGTGACATGCTTCGTAGGTATGCGATTGTGTCTTGAAATACTTGGCTCAATGCAGTCGTTTATCAAATGAAATTAATCTGGGTTAATCAAATCAAATCTATACTCACAAGTCTTGTAGTTGAGGAGCTAAAAAACAATACAAAATTCATTTCAGTTACATAAAATCAGACTAATTTTTATCTTTTGGTGAAAATTCCAGTTTTCAAATGAAAATAGTATCAAAAAATCACCCGCTAAAATTGCAGCAAAACACACAGAACACACAATGAATAATGATTTCATTCCTAATGATTGAAATGTAGAAGAAAAAAACAAATCCAAAATTCGAACTGCACTCTCGTAGTGTTGAATGTGAACTGAGTTCAAATAAGAAGTCACTTTCTTTTTATAACAACCATTCATTGAAATGAAAAAGAAAATGCTTCTATTCTAAGAATCAACCGATTTCCGTAAGAGAATAGCATGAACATGGTTTTTTAATGAGTTCAATATGTTTACTTCGAATGAGGCGATGCATTTGGCACATTGTCACATCTATAATTTATGTGTAAATAGTTGAAATGCGTTCAGTAGCGTGAGCATTCTGGATTCAATGTGTGACAAATGGATGTTTGTGACGATGCCGAGTGAAAAGGGATTAAGATATGAACTAAGATTCTTGGCTATAAATACAATCGAACACATGTCAAGTTCATCACGATTCAAATGAAAGTAGTACACGCATTGGCATTTGCTTCTATGTAACTTTATTTCAAAATCAAATACATTGAATATGGGCGCATAAAAAAGTAGGTTCAATTCAAATTCGAATGATTTTTCAGTATGTTGACGATGCTCGTAAATCCTGATTGAATTAAAACCAGTTAAGTGTTATAAAATTGGATTTTCATCGATTTTGATTCTATTTCTTTCTAAATTACCGTTCATTTCAGCCAGATCCATCGGTGTTTCACCGGGAGTTCTTATTTGTGGGTCTGCTCCGTGTTGCATTAACAATTTTACTACTTCCTCATGACCTTAAAAAATGTTTGGCATTATTTTAGTTCAATTTGAAGCCCTTTTTTCACTCAGTTAGACGCTATTTTCAATACCTCCTTCGGTCGCATAATGTAATGATGTTCGACCGCGATTATCTTTCACATTAATTTTTGCTTCATGTTGAATAAGCATCCGAACAATACTATCATAGCCTGAAAATATGTAAGTTTACTTGACAAGAGTGTGCTCTGTGCAATGTGCTTGTGCATTTCAGTGGTAATTCAAAATTACCATTCACAGCCGCATAAATTAGTGGTGTGCTTCCTTCATTGTCTCTAATATTGGCATCAGTTCCATTTTTCAACAAATCTTGCATTAATTTGTCTTGGCCTAGATCAAAACAACGATTTATTTATTTCAAATTTGGAATCCAATTCATTTATAATTATACCTTCATTAGCTGCACGAAGCAGTTGCACTTGTTCATTTGTTCTAATGGAAAATAAAAATTTTACATGTAGAATTTCGATATAAATTCCTCGATCAGTGCGATTACTTACAATTCTTTACGTTCTGGAGGTGCTGAAATGGAATTTATAATTATTATTTTGTTTATTCTTTTCCTACATAACTTTAAAACAAATACGTTTGAAAATACTTTTTACCTGCCAAAATTATAATGAAACATGGAACGAACATAACGAAGATGTACTTCATTTTTGGGCTGTTTAAATATGAAATATATCGAAGTGCAATATGTGCGAATGAAAAGCAAACTGAACTGGCTTTATTCGATCATTGGGTTTTATACAAAAAAAGGTTGAACTAGACAGGAAATGTGATCATCTATCGCATTTTGAGAATTTTGTAACATTTCTTCCGTTCATGGACGCATGTTATCAATTTTGTTATCATTTACATGGCAACGTTGTTATAGTGAATTAATAATCAAAATGAAATCAAAAATCGAATCAAATTTTGTTTTTTTTTTTTCAACAGAAGAAAGTTTTGATAACACCAAAAACTACGCGCAATATAGTCGACATAGTATAACAAAAACAGAGGCATAGACGCATCATACTACTCAGTTTTGTGCATTCACGGTATATATTGGAGCGATGAAAGGCATTGGAATTGAATCAAATTGATAACACTCGGACAGATATGATTAAGTTCCCTTTTCACATAAGCAGTTTCCTAATCACACGCGAAGCTTTGATGAATTCCACTCATTTTTGAATTTCATATCGAAATTGAGAAGGAATAAATGTCGATTGTCGAGTTAAAACTTTTCGTAATGAAAAAGGTTTCTTTTAGAGAAAGTTACAGTAAAGACACAAACAATGAACTGCATTCAAACGATTGACAAACGACGGCTTATGACTATTCGACTTAACGCGTATCGATTATTCGTTGGTATTCGTTGCCACCTCTGTTTAGCGGAATGCAATACAGAGCAATTGCTTCATCGATTTGATGCCAAATAGTAGACGTCACGGGGCTGATATTGAGTTTTAACTGTAATGAATTTCACTGGATCGATTCTACGAGTTATTTGGATAGTTCAAAAGTGTACTAAATTAATTGTAAAATTTTCAAGTTATTTATAAGTAGGTAATCACATTTTATTTATCATTTTTATAAATAACAATTTTTTGCGATGAAAATAAAAATCTATTATTATGTTAAATTTATGTGTTTTGATAGGTGTTATCTGTTATAACATTGCGGTTTGTAGATGGGGATGATAGCACTACTTGTAGATAATAGTTGACAGTTTGGTTCGATACACGGTGGGACAATTTCATATTCCAATGGAATTCAATTCCAAGATATTGAAGATTCAAAAAGCCCCATACAAGATCATGATAGGGTTCAAATGGAATATCATTTATTGGTCGAGGTTCTTTCTTATCGTTTTCAGCTAATTTCATGGCATTTTCATAGCCAATCATATCCATATGATTCGGTGATAGAAATGGGGCTAGAAATAAAATCAATCAAATTCAAAATTGAATTTAATTTCTAGAGAGATTAAATGTTTTTCGTCTGAAGAAAATATGAAATAATTTGCTGTTACCTGCCAAAACCGCCGTAAAACCCAGAATGAATAGAACTAACCGAAACTGCATGTTTGACTTTTGGAGGAAAAAATGATCAACAGAACCTATATCAATATGTGCAAACTGTAGAGTGACTCCGAATATTCGCTACTAAAGCTTTTATATGATCGCTAAATGAGATAGGTATCAATTATTTTTGGAATAAGATTTTCGGCGAAAAATTCTTTCGAATATATTCGGTTTGGAATATATGGTTTGAAAAAGTTACATATTCATTTTGATGCGAAACTTAGAAGTCCATCTATAGACAAAGTAACCTGGCTGATAAGCTACAGAGTGAGTGAATCGTAAATGTGTGTTATACCATTTACTATATTAGTTAGCAATGCTAAAACTGCAACGAGATGTGGTCACTTACATACAGGCTAACTGAACACGCTTTATAAACGTCCAATCTCTCTCACTCTCTGTGACAAATGACACGATTATTCTATTCTATTTATTTTCATTGCATTCATCAGAATATTTTATTCGTGCTGTGTAAATAGTTTTGAATTATAAATGTCATTTTAAATGACACTCTCGATGAACACGTGCATTAGTATAATATAAAAGTTACACACTTACGTCTGCCACCAACAAGTTTTATCAATTTCAAACAAAAACTCAATGTAAGAGTTAGAAACGTTCAAAAGTCCGCTCTAAGGATGATTTCGTCATCATTTGACAATTGGGATGTTTCTACATTTGATGGCATTTTCAGTTCAGTTGATTCATTAACTGCAAAAATTCAAACGCTTTTTGCTTATACCTTGCAGAATTTTTTATTCATTTAAAACTATATGCTATTATTTTCAAGTATTGGACGAGAAAAATGGAGATAGTTAGGGAATTGTAGTTTTAGTTTCTCATTTACATTTTAATATTCATCGTGCATTGATGATTGTTTTCATTGAATAGAGCTTTCGTTCACCCCTTTCGTTTCATCACCTCACTTGCAACGGATTATTCATTTTTGGTGGCTCGAGTTATCTCTTCCAATGGTTCAAAGATACGGATGATTTTGATTCGTTCTTCACCAATCCAAATTACCACATTAACTTGTACGGAGGAGCCTTCGAATTCAGGGAATACATCTGCCAAAGTATGCGATTCATCGAGATGGTCAAAACAAATTAAATCTTGCAAGCAGACTTTAAAGTCAGACAGGTTGATGTGCGGAATCTGTATTTGAACTGAACTCCTCAATGCCCTAATGTTATCCGAAATATTCATCATAACATTGAAATCTATCACTGTTATTTCATTTTCGTCGTCGTAGCTAGATTGTTGTTCCGAGTGTTCGTATTTGATGAGCAGATTTTCAATATCATAATGACCTTCATAAATTTGAAGAAAAATTCAGTTCAAATTGATTGCAGTTTCGGTTAAAGCCATAAAATATACCTCTTCTGACGAAATCTTTCGCTGTTCTCCCACGATAGTCGGTAGCATTAACATCGGCGCCGTTTTTGAGTAGTAATTCAACAATTTCCTTATGGTCTATATAATTGAAAGGTTTTATAAGACTTTGACACTCGGAATATGAATTTATGATTACTTTTTTTGACAGCACACATTAAAGGTGTTTCACCGGAAAACCATTGTTGGCCAGCCAAACCATAGTCTATACCGAAAGAGATCGGTTGGTTTACATTGACTTTTTTCTCCACGAGTAATTTGACAATCGACGTTCTACCTATAAATATGCAAGCTGTGATTAATTCGAATTTGTTGGAGTTTTTTCTTCAATCACCCTCATCAATGGCTTTTGTAAACATAATTTTATCAAGATACATGTATATAGACATTTTACTTGCTTGGATTTATTTCAATAATTCCCTACCTCTTAATATAGCAGCTCTAAGTGGAGTTATCAATTTCCATTTTTCATTGAAATCAGCACCATGTTCAATGAGTAATTCCACAATATTTACTCGACCTTGAAAATAATACTTTTTCAACGAAACATTTTTTTTCGCATCATAACATCACAAACAAACCTTTTGTGATAGCTTCCATTAGTATTGGCATACCAAAAGTACCCGTAGTTTTCATGCTGGTCCCACCTTGAATCAGTGCTTTGATCACCTCTTCATTCCCTATTCATTTTTTTTAAAAGAAGATACTGAGCCACTGAACTCTTATAGTCTTCCTATAGCTTACCTTTGTCAACAGCTAGATGTAAGGGAGAATATCCACGACGAGATTTGATATTGGGGTTAGCGCCAAGTTCAATAAGAAGTTTCACCATTTTAGCACGACCTAAGCGATTCAAAAATATACCAAATACTAGAAAAATCGTTGGTTCATTTACATAATCTCACCTGTCATGATGGCCAAAATTAGGGGAGGTTCATATTTGAAATATCCGTTATTGACATCGGTATCATCTTCCACCAATGATCTTACCATATTTTCATCTCCTATCAAAAGTTAGGCATTATATCTCCACTGCATATTTCTCAATGAACGATTTTTCTTTCAACAAAATGACAAATCTATTGAAATGTTGACAATTACCTCTCCTGATGGCATCAAGTAATGCCATTTTCCCATTCGTATCTAAATTAGCAAATAAATAAATAAATAAATACAATTCTCTTTCCAAGTGATTGTCATCGGATTAAATCGGTTGAAAGACATTTTTTTACCTGCTAAAACTGCAACAAGATGAGCAATGAATACAATACAGATTGTCTTCATTTTTGCGATTGGTATGAAACTATATTCAAATCGGGCCACAATGCGACTTATATACAGGCTTACCGTTTGGTACACTGCTTAAACGTCCAGCACTCTCGGCGACAAATGAATCGATTATTCCATTTCCTCAGTTTATGATGCAATCATTTTTTTTTTATTTGCATTCATCTAATAAATGTGATTATTTTACTCGTGCTATGAAATATGAATGTCAGTTAAAATGACACTCTCAATGAACATATGAATGATGATATAAAAATTTGCTCAAAACTATTTACTTGTGGTTGAATCAAAATCACCACAAGCACTTGTCTAGCTCTTGATGTGATTGATTGAAATTTAATCACTTTATTTACTCAAGACTTTACTTTAAAATAAGGGAGAAAATGCTTCTATTTTCATAGTTTATTTGAACAATTGCTTTATTTTAATTTCTGACGAGACAAATTGAAGAATACGAAATTTATTTATGAGTTCTCATTTACGTTTTTATTGTCATTGCGCTCTCATATTTAGAGATGATTGGTTGATGGTTCAATTGATAGCTGAGTTGAACTTTCGTTTATATCATTTAACTCAGTGCTTGAAACGGTCTGTTGTTCATGTTCGGCGAGTGGAGTTACTTTCTCATACGGCTCAAAGTAATCGATGATTTTGATTCGTTTTCGAACAATCCGAATTTTAACATCAACTTGTAAAGTTGAGCCTTTAAATCTATAATAACTAGGGAAGAAAGAGTCGGGTTCTTTCAATTTTTTCCAATCGTGCAACCAGATTTCAAAGTCGGACGGATTTATCTGCGGAACTTTTGCTTGCAGTGCACTTCTCAATGCGCTAGCGTTATCCGAAATATTCATCAACACACGCACATCTATACTTTCGTAGGCGTTTGAAGTGGTTTCAGTATCTTTTTCATTTTTGCTGGAGTACATATAGAGTAAATCTTTGATATTGTCGACATTCTCAGAATCGTGACAAATTAGAAGAAATATTTCAGTTCAAATAGGAGACAATTCGTTCAAATGCCTGCTTTGACGTATGTATACGTGTGCGGCGCGAGCTCACAGCAATCAAGATATACATACATACGTATCATTTTCCCATTTACTTTAAGCGTTTAGATCTCTTTGTGACAAATTGATCCATCACTGTATTTCTCAACTGTAAAATGGTCTTTTTTGGTTGCATGCGCTTATTTGCATTTGTTTTTGTAGATATTATTGTCAGAAACACTAGAAATATATTAGTTGAAATGAACAAATTATTTAAAGATTTGCTCACAGCTTGAAAGCATACTCTGCTTATTCCAATACAATAAAAAAAATTGAAATGAGAGTGAAACTAAACACAGAACTGACAAGAGAATCGATATTTGTAAAATTTGGCTATAATTTAATGCAAATAATTAACGGGAACATTGAATGTGATTGAATGTTTTCTGTTCGCCGTAGATGATCTCGGATTGTGTGTCAGGTTCCGGTTTTAAGTTCAATTAGTTTTTCTTTTGGAAATTCTCGTAAATGTTCACTAGTTGATGATGGATCATTTTTCAAAGAACATTTTTGTGTGGTGTGAAAAATGGGTATAATACTAAATGAAAAGTACTTCCACTTTATTCATTGTTTTCGTTTTTGGTGCATTTCTTACATCTGTTTTTGGTGCTAGTGTTGGTGAAATAAACGGAATCATCATATAAAGTTCTCAAAATCGATAATTTTATGTTGTCATCACGACACACATAACGTTCACATTTATTTTCATTATGAAACACACACAAATTTACTTAAACTGGCGCAATAATTGAATTATACCATAGAAGATTATTTTGCCTTGAGATTTCTTCGAAAAAATGTCAATTTTAATGATACTCATCTTCATGGAACTGCAGTTTTCCCGTCCGTTAGGCGGCATAATTATTTACATACTAAGAAATAAATATTGATAGAGATAAGGACTAGAATCACAATTGAAATTTGACTATGTATTTTGGTTTTCTTTAACTTGATAATCAGAGTTCAGTTACTAATGAAATTGTATACGGAAAATGAGTGATAGGAGTGTAAATAAAAATAAATCACTTTGGAATAATTCGAACTGTTTTTTTTATTATGCGCGTTTTGTAGAAATATGTTGGTTTTTATTTTCGCTGTAACATTTCAGCATCTCAGCTATCTTCGTGGAACCTATTTGATTAAATGAATCAATTGACTATTTCCGAATGTGATGCAACTATTGCAATCATTTACCAATTTTCTCGGCAAGTTCCATGGGTGTTCCACTAAACCGGCTAATTGATTGAACATTTGCACCGTATTCGAGAAGAAGCTTGACCACGTGCTCATGACCTAAACCAATTCATAACAATATATTCATTGAAGAAAAAATGGGAAAAATTCAAAAATCACCTCCTTCGACAGCACCATGTAAAGCTGTATCACCAAAAATATCTTTGGCATTGATATTGGCTCCATTTTCAATTAACATCTTTGTGATCCTATCATTTCCTGTTCATACGAAAATTATTTTTCATTGTCAAAGTTAAATAAGTGTAATTTATAATTCACCTTTCCTAGATGAAAGCATCAATGGTGTCTCGTAGTAAATGGTCCTACTGTCAATCTCCACGCTATTCTCAATAAGCATTTTGACAATGTTGTAATATCCTTAAAAAATATTGATAAGATCAGTTTTTCATTAGTAAATTGAACTCCTGAGAATATTCGTTGGACTTTATTACGTCTTTCTGAAATACGGTTCTTGAAAAAATTTGTACGCAAAAACTGTACATCAAAATAATTTTTTCGGGGTTTTTAAGCCGTGATTACAACAGTCTCTTGTCCCATTTTTTCATACAACTTTTTTCAAGTTTCAGAATTTAACTACGCATCGAAAAAAGTCCAACGAATATTCTCAGCCGTTCAACTATGCAAAATAAAAACACCTTTCTGAACGGCATAATAAAGTGCAGTTCTGCCACTGAAGAGTGAGGTGTTGACATTAGCCCCGTTTTCAATTAGTGTTGCAGTGATGTTCTCGTGACCTGCGTAGAAAGAATTTATTATAAGAATTGCGTATGACGTAGTTGTACCGCAGCTATATCTTTGCAATATGCATTTCTCTTTGAGTTTTTGTTTTAAAAATATAACCTTTTCGTGCTGCTAGCATTAGTGGAGTTTCACCAATATCATTTTTACTGTTCACGTCTGCTCCGTATTCAATCAGTAACATGACTATATTCGTTTTTCCTGAGTAAACCATTTGCGTAATTAAATTTTTTTAATTTTTCAAAATTAAAATCAATTCATAAATACCTTCACAAGCAGCAAGATGCAAAGCCGTACCAAACGGTTCAAAATAAAAGAAATCATCTCTAACTAGAATAATTAAAATGAAAAATGAAAATCAAATACAAAAACTACGAAAAAAATGGTCTTCGCTGCACCTCCTTTGGAAGCAAATGTCAATAGATTCTCCTGGAAATTGGTTTCATTATAAATGTCCGCGCCTCGTTCGATGAGCAAACCCATTTCTTTTATGTAACCTTAAAAATGTCAATATATTCACTTGGCTTCTTATCACAAATAATTATCTCTATTGAATACTTTTCAAGGCTTTTTTTCCACCGTGCGCTTTAGCGTTGATATCTGCACCGTGTTCAATGAGAATTTTTGTTACTTCTTCGTAACCTAAATATATCCAAAACAATGATAGTTCAAATTCCGTTTCAATTAATAGATATTCCAACTGTATTAGATCAGATCTCGGAAGATGTACCGATTTTAATGCTTTATTTACCTTCACTTGCCGCAAGAGTTAGTGGCGTATACATCGTAGTGTGTTCATTATTAAGAGCAGCTCCATAATCAATGAGAAGCCTGACTACGTCTTCGTGACCTTGAAATGATAACCAAAAATTTCATTTTGTCAAAGTAAAAAAAAAAATCACACGTAAATCACCTGCATAAGCGGCAAAATGTATGGCCGTAGTGCGATCGAGATGGATGGGCACACTGTAGATTGTTTTATTGTCAATGTTCAACCCAATCGTAGTGTTAACCACAATCGAGCTGTTTATCTCAGCGCCGTTATCAACCAGTAATTGTGCAATTTCGTCATAACCTAAATATGGTCATTTAAACTCTACTATGAATTGACACTGCAAATTCTCTATCCAGCAATTACCTCTCATTGAAGCAATCATAAGTGGTGTGGTTTCATAATTGTTTTTACAATCAACGTTGGTCCCGTTCTCAATTAGTAACCTGACAAGATTCTCGTTGCCTTTATAAACCGCGTAGTGTAACGGTTTCGATCCGAATTCATCTTGAATATCAATATCAGCGCCATTTTCGATGAGAAGCCTAACTACATCGTCATGACCTCAATGAGGAAAATAAAATTAGCAAATTGAATCAAGTTTATTGTTTAAACGATCGAAAAGAACATTGTTAATACCTTTGAAGATAGCCAAATCGAGCGGAGTTGCGCCAGTTTTTTCGAATTTTATATCGATGTCAGCCCCGTTGTGAAGCAGTAATTTAACGAGGCTTGCATGACCTTTATGCGCAGCATAAATGAGCGGCGTTCGGCCTTCATCATCGCCAGCATCAACATCGGTGACTCCAAGCTCCGAATCATTTCTTTCAACAGCATGAATGCCTTCAAAATCAACGTTCGATTGATCCGAAGCTAAAAAGAAAATAATATTCACTTGATTTTTTATAAGAAATTGCATAACATTGAAGACAAAACAACAAAATGCACAGATTATAATACCTGCCACAATTGCAACGACGTAGAGAAGCTTCATTTTAAGTGAATCGTTAAACATAGACTGAATGTCAACGAGTGAATCAATTTGATGTTACGCGAATATAGAGGAAATGATTTAATTGGACAAATTAATTCGACAAAAATGTAATCAAGATGATTGCATGAATTCAATCTAATGTTTCAAGTTCATTCTAGTAAACAGACTTTTAATATGTGTATAGTACGTAGTAAAACGTTGTCCGTGGAATATTTTACACCGATCTCTCTCTCTCTCTCCTTTTGCTGCCTGCTGATAGCTCAAAGATGAATTGATATGACATATCAATTCTGGGAATAAAATGAAAGTGGACTGTGACATAGAAATTTGCACTATTCATGGATCGGCCGCATTTATTTTTAGACGGAATAAACACGTTCAATCAAGTTAAATTCGCATAAAGTTTAGAATATTCTTTCTAGTTTTATGTTTACTCTAAAGAATAAACAAAAACATTCAACCAGAAAATTGTGCCGTTCACTTCGTACGTTCGTCGGTGATGTTTGCTTTGCAGATAGTTGCTTGAAAAGAGATCGGAACTTTGTGTTTTGTTTTCTCATTTAGTGTAAATGTGCCTTAAGAATTTACTCGTTACATCTTATCGTGTGATCGAATCGCATTTACTGTCTTTAAAGGGCGAGAGTTGCACGCAGTGTCGCTTGGGTTGGAAATGTTGAAAATTGGCAAACGCAGAGTTTCACACAATGTGTGCACACGGCAACACATCATACACATAGGCCAAAGAGTGAACAAAGCGACAGGGAAAAAAATCGGAAGAAAACATCAATGTGTCATTGTTGCCAGCCATACTGATGCTGATCGATTACAATGTCTTGCGAAACTGAAAAAGAGCAACAACAGTGTGCATTAGATAATTCAATGGCATGGATTTGTGTCCGCAAAACCCGGTTTAGCTGGTCTTATGATCAACGAAAGAAGATGAGTAGTGAATTCAATCAGTGAATTTACGACAAAAGTCGTTCAAAGATTTGTTTAAATCGATAAGATAAATTAAAATGATGCATTTGCAGTCAGTGTTTGTTGAAACGAAAATGGGAATTACCGTATATTCGGTGTCTTATCATATCTCGGGTGAAGAGAAATGGAAAATCCGGAAAAGGATAGAGTTACGTTCGTCATTGCCAGTGTTTATGTACCAGCGCACATATTGCACAATAAAAATGACATAATTCCGTTAGCTGTCTTTGGTCTTTGCCGAACAAAACAGATCCCGACAACCATCTCAACACGATGGAAAACAAAAAAAAACGAGGCTGTAAACGACAACATCACAGAAAAAAAATATACTTGTTTTCTTATGTTGACTGCGCCCGGTTGCCGTTGTTGCTGAGCGGCATTTCAAATGCAAAGGAAATGGGTTTTATACACAAATCGATGTCATTGCTACTTTGTTTATGGCGCTTCTTTTGTATACATCTTATCGACGCCATAAGATTTCCATAAATGAATGGAATATACATTAAATACATCGTGTTGCGTTGGATGAAATCGTTTTTCTTCTAATTCTATGTGAAGCATTAGCTCGTGTAATTTCGTAATTTTCAGACGATTTTTGCTATTTTTGAACAATAAGACGATTTCGAAAAATACCTTCGGTACGAGATGCTTCTAGTTGTTTCTCATTATCGTCTGAATCGTCAATTGTAATGTCCGTTTTAAAATAAGCCTATTGAGCCGTTGCCTCTTTTGTTTTTCAACGAGTAACTAGACTGAATAATGAAAATAATGACAATGGAAATTGAAAATATTTTAAATGAAAAATTCGTCAAAGAAGATGCTATCAACGTACGTTATTTGGCTTGATAAAATCGTTCCAAATTTTCAAATATTCAAAATAAATGTTCATTTCAATGCTTATCATGCATTCATTTTGGAACTAGGGTCAGCCTGTGTGTTTCCCATCTTTGGGAAGTTATTAACGGATTGTAGCAATTCTCACCTACTCTCGATCCCTCGTGCTTGTCATCATCGTTCCTTTGCCCTTTTTTGCATTGTAATTTAATGAAACATATTTTATTTCTCATGCTCCCGATACTTAGTTATATTCAATCAGATTGCATTAATCTCACCCTTATTGTTCTTTCCATATGTTGATCTGTCAGATTGCATCCATTCGGTGTCGTGTACAAAATTCAAATATTCTCTGAAAAAGTGATACAGAGAGAGAGCGAGAGTGAATGCACACACACACGGTCGCTTAAACATGTTAATTCAAAAGAAGTAACCAAATTCGCATTTTGAAATCCGACTGAGGACTACCGCGTACCGCATTCGGAGAATAGAAACGGAAGCAAAAAAGATACCGTTAAGTTGGTTGTTGATTTGCGAAAGAGGGTTCTGCTGTTGCTACGATTTCAGCTTGTTTATCCTATTGTTAAAATAGGAATGTGTATGTGTGTGCGCGCCTCAAACAATAGTGTGTGTGCTCGCATTATATTCAATTTGCCCATAATATTATTTAATTTTTTCTCTCTCCTTCTATTTGGTGTGTGTGTCTACTTTACGTGCACATTTTAAGGGGTGAACCAAAACACGACTCTCATGCCACAGCTTCGTTATAAATAATACCGCGACGTTGCTGAGTAGTATCGTGGTCCGTAGAAGAAGACAATGTTTGATATTAAAAAGCGTTGAACTCGTCGTCGTCGTCATCGTATTTTTCGATTCATTTGGTGCGAAATGCATTGAATGCATACACAATAACGCAAATGTATCACATTTATTGGGCTCAATAGTGCCTGACTGCTGCCGTGATGGGATAGAATGAACGAGTGAGTGTGTGGAAGTGAGCTTGTGTGCACACAGTACTTGGTGTGGTACACAAACCCAGCGTCTGTGTTGGTTTTAGTGGTGTGACGCTATTACATTTTTGGTTCGCCTCCCTTGTTTATGGTTGCCTTTGATTCAATATCTCATCAAACAACACACAACGCAACGCAAAACCAAGCACAAATGCTTCGCTCTCGTTGTTGGCTAACCAAACGATTTTGGATTTTACCCAACTCACGACAGCATGCCACATCTTCGGATTTTGGGGAAGTTGTAAATTAAGAAGAAGAACCAATTGAATGGACGAATATTTTTGGCAGGAGTACAATATAGAATTATTGGTTTTTGATAGGGGGTTCTTTTTCCTCATTTTTTTTCTGTTCAATTATCATCTTTTTTGGTAGCTGGATTTTACATTCAAACCATTTTTTCTCGTCCAAACAATTTTTTCCAGATTTTTTTCTCTTCAAATGTTCGATAGTCATTTTTGCGAGAAAAAAAATTGTTCGCTGCTTGAATAAACAATGGACAATTCAATATTGAATATTCCTGTTTTGTATCAAATGATTTTATTACAACAATTCTTTTTTACTCTTGCCCTCTTTTCAGATAGAATGCCATAGGCAACGAAAAATTGAAATCAATTTTCAACGAACAATCTGCTCAATTTCACTGAGACTGAGAAAATAAACGAACTATTGATGCAATGAATTTTACAATATGAATTTCGGCATTTCCTATGTTCGGTGGTCATATCCATCAAATTCCGAAAAAGATTAGCCGCTTCGTATCAAATAGTGCACGGGCGTAAGTGAAAAAAAAATTAATAAAGTTATCAATAAATCTGGTGAAATAATATTTATTTCCTGCATTTGTCGTTCTTTATTTTCACCCATTTTTTTGTTGTTGTTGTAATGAAACAACAATCGGTGAGCCCAATCGTAATTCCTTTGTTAATTTACTATGGATTGTGTACACAAAAAGAGATGTTCGCAGGTAATGCAAAAACCAGATCTCCGCATAAAAATGGGCTTGAGCTGTTTTTTTTTTGTCTCCGTTGTTGTTACTGGAATGAATTGTGAAATGGAAAAAAAATACATAGAAAATTGAAACATTTGTATCTGATATGATGTAATAGTTTGGTGCGTTTTTTTTCATCGTGTATTGTGTTGCGAGAGAGAGCGACAAAGTTGAAAAGCGATAAAGTGAACCGAAAAAAAGAAGCAGAGCGAAAAAAAAAACTGCTGCGTTCCACATTTCATTTTACATTTTATCTAGAGAAATGATCTGGAATGTAAGTAATAGTGTATTCCGGTTCCCTGATTTTTCGCTTGTATCATTTGCTGGCTTTAAACTGTTCCTCCCGGACTAGTGTCAATGCTACTACTATGTGTGCATGTGTACATGATATTTTGCTCTATTAATAATATTGTTATTATTATGATCGTCATTATTTTTTGTTATTAATGCCATTAAACTGAAGCGACGACCATCATTGTGAGTTGCCCTTTAGCAAGTTGCTCCTTGTTTGCGACTGCTGCTGCTGTAGACAACTCGGCTTCCGTCAACTGGTTAAACACACACATTTCTGTATATTTCACTTCATTTAGACTGATTTATCGAATGTTTGTTATGGTTCATTTAAATTATTGTGCACATTGAGGCTCAGCTAACGCAACCGTTTTTGCTACGCCAAAACGCTTGTCTATTTGTAACTTACACTCGATTGCACGATACGTACTCGAGTCTGTATGTGCCGAATTAGCAGGCAACATACACACTGCTGCTCATCGCAATCGCTCATTGTTCGACATGAACATAAATTTTACGCATATTTCAGGCTTTTTCATAACATTTTTGTCATCCCTGCAATGGATGAATCAATTAATCAATTTTGAGGACATGCTTTTTTTCGGTATTCTTTGGGCGAATATAAAATAGGGCACAGCATTTACTTTGCGGTGCTCAAATTGACACAATTTTTATATGCTGTGCGTTTGACGTGGTTGACATCCAAAAAGGTACTCTCATTTTGCATAGTCAAATGAGTTGATTTGCGTAGCACATTTACATCGCCTTTTGTGTTAAACCATGAAATGTGTAAATTAATGGTTTTGCGTGATAAATTCACACACCACTTTGCAAACAGGAAAAAACGGGATTTTACAATGCTATCCCATCATCAGCACCGGATGCGATAATTAGGCAAT